CTCGGTTTTGGAATAGTTTCCAACAAGCTATGGGAACAAAGCTGTCACTTAGTACTGCTTTCCACCCCCAAACCGATGGACAATCAGAAAGGACAATTCGTACGCTGGAGGATATGCTCCGAGCTTGTGTCCTTGACTCCGGGGGCCATTGGGACGACCACCTACCCCTGATAGAGTTTGCTTACAACAACAGTTACCAAGCAAGCATCGGCATGGCCCCATATGAGGCGCTATACGGGCACCCGTGCAGGTCACCGATCTGTTGGGAAGAAATGGGCGATAGAAGATTGTTCGGTCCGGATTTGGTAGAAGAAACCACGTCCAAGATAGTTAAAATCAAGAAGAACATCCAGACAGCTCAGAGTAGGCAGAAGAGTTATGCTGATACCCGGAGGAGAGACCTGGCCTTTGAGAAAAGCGACCGGGTGTTTCTTAAAGTCACCCCCTTCAAAGGAATTAGTAGGTTCGGCAGGAGGGGAAAATTAAACCCCAGATATATTGGACCCTTTGAGATCTTAGATAAGATTGGTACCACTGCCTACAGACTTGCACTGCCTCCTGAGCTCTCATGGGTTCATAATGTGTTCCATGTATCTATGCTACGTAAGTACAATCCAGACCCTTCTCATGTCTTGGCTCATGAACCGCTTCCACTCCGAGAGGACTTGACTTATGAAGAAGTACCAGTCAGTATCACGGACCGAGAAAGCAGAATACTCCGCAACCGGGAAATATCATTTGTAAAAGTCATGTGGCAGAACCACACGCCCAGGGAGGCGACTTGGGAACTGGAATCAGAATTTAGGGCCCAATATCCCCATCTGTTTGATCAAGAGTAATGAGCCAAATTTGGGGACCAAATTTCTTTAAGGGGGGGAGAGTTGTAGCACTCGGAAAAAGGGCCGAAAAAAAAAACCACGTCAGCAGCCACGTCAGCAGGCCTGGTCAGCAGTCCCGGCCAACCGGGACCTGCCACGTGGCAAGACCACGTCGTTCCGAAACGGACCACGTTGGCGATCCACGTAGGCGCGATCGGACGGTCCAGATCAAGCGTGCGATCGGACGGCCCAGATTTAATCAAAAACGGACGGCGCAGATTAAAATAAAATGGATGGCTGAGATCAAAAGGGCAAAGGGTTATAAATAGAACCCCCACACCAGACCACAAACCCTAGCCGCCTGTCGCTCGCCGGAGAAGACGAACCAGAAGCCGGCCGCCACCACCCGCCGCCGCACCGGAGAGATTTCTGACCGCCGATCGAGGTAAATTTCATACCCCCGACTCGTTTTTCCACGCTGATTTCTCCAGTGGCCAAATCGGAGCCAAAATCCCGGCCAAACGGCCGAAAAACACGGCCGAAAGCCAGCGGCGCCGCCGCGCCCCTTCTTAATTTTTGCCTCTGATGAGGCCCTTCCCGGCCTCCGTTTAATGCAATTTTTATATCACCGTGATCACCATTCTTTTCTCTACAGGTTGATCGGAGCCGAATCACTAAAACACGAACTTCACCGGAGAGCCGCCACACCCGAGAGCACCGCCGCCGGTAAGCTTCGATTTTTCGTAAATTTTCGGCCCCCCGAGGGCCGTAGGGTTGTTTTATCACAGGAACCAATGCGAGTGTGGCCGAATTCGGCCGAAAACGACCAACCCGAGGCAAACTGCCGCCGTGCCGGAGTTGCGATTTGGGCCAAAATGGGCCTTGGGCCTAATTTGGGATTTTTTTGAAACACGTGCAGGTACCAGTAGTACGTTTCAGTTCCCCGAGAAAAATTCAGGAAAAATTAGGGAAAGTCTGTAGGCGCACTGTGAAGCCGTGTTCGGACCCCGAAACGAGTAAGGACCCCTCACCCTATTTCCTATCACAGTTTTAAAGTTCAATAAATGATAAAATGGTATTTCATGAATCAACGAGTGTGTGAAACTGCTTAAGGTCGCTAATGGAGACCGAGTCCAGTGTGTTTGTCGGTTAACTGTTATTTGGCCTGTTTTACAGTTTTAAATGCAGCATGAAGTTCGATGTTTTCATTTTATAGTTTCGTGTGCATATTTTACTGTTTTATTGATTATGGATTGAATGACCGGGATATTGATGTTGTATGTTGTCTGTTTGGCATAAATTACTATTTTGTTTGTTTGTATGTGGATTGAGGATACTGACTGAGGGAAAAGAGAATGATAGATTATGTAAATAGGTAATTGTATAATGTGGTCAGCCTGACTAGATATCCTGAGAGATGGTGGACGGACCGGGTCCGTAGGGGACCCTACCGGGATTGTGGTCTCTCATACCGGACGGGGTATGGAGATCTTATGTGTTCGGCACCCATACCGGACGGGGTATGGGGACGGCCCGTTTCACCCTCATACCGGACGGGGTATTGAGGTTTACAGTTTTGGCGCCCATACCGGACGGGGTATGGGGACGACCCTGGAAATCTGATTACAAGTATTAAGGGTAACGGGTAGCGGGACCCCTATGGATCCCCATGGATACTAGTAGGCTGGTGAATGAGGAAAAGTAATTGTGAAATGATTGAATTGCAAGGGCGTGATGAGTATTATGTTACACAGTTTATATGATTTCATGATTATGATAATGTTATTGCTTTCGTATATTGTTTTATGAATTTCACCGAAGTAAGTGAATGGTAAAGGGTTTTATTACTGATAAATGAGTTTATTGTAAATTATGCTCTATTGGTCTTTTTGTGTTTTCTACCCACCTTTATCTCCGTGATGGTGAGATATCGTGATGTCCTTACTGGGCTAGTGTAGCTCATTCCTTATTTAATCATTTCAGATCAGGAAGACATTGTTCCCGAGCCCGTTCCGCAAGAAGACGACGAAGGGGACGCCTAAAGACTCCAAAGTCATATTCATAGTTTACTTTCGAATCTCTCTTTTAGTCAGTTCGATCTTTTATATTTTGAGCACGTTTTTTGTTTTAGTGTAAGGGATGTTAATCGAATTTTGACTTCGCTTCCGCATTTGATATTTTTAATATACATTCCATTTTAAATTTCCGGGGCCGTTACAGACGGGTTGTAAGAGTTTGGGAAGGGAAGTACCGGGGGGGGGGGGGAGAATTATTTACTTATGTTTTAATTTTTTTAGTTTAT